TCTGCCATTGGCCTTCTAGGTCTTTAATTAGCTAGTGGAAATAATCATCGCCTATTCATCAGCTCCTTCATCTACCAATTCAGTGAACACCTTTTGCACACTGGCTCTGCATCAGGCACTCTGCTAGGCATGGGGATATAGCCACCAACAGAGCAGATGTGTCTTCCCTGTGGGTGGAATTTAGACCTGGTTGCAGGGCAAATATCAACAGGTCAAATGCCCATATTGTCACTCACTGTGCTGACCACTTCTGACACAGTTTGATGACACCCAATTTAAAGTCACCTCCAATTCCTCCAAAAATTAAAAAATTGAATGATCATATGATCTAGCAATTCAAGTAAATACTCCGAGGTATTTATCCAAAGAAAACAAAAACACTAATTCAGAAAGACACATGCACCTCCATGTTCATAGCAGCATTATCTACAAGAGCCAAAACATGGAAGCAACCGAAGTTCCCATAAATAAATGACCAGATAAAGAAGATATGGTGGAGTGGATAAAGATATGGTGGACTGGATAAAGAAGACACAATGGACTACTACCAGTAGTCCAGCACTGACAGACGTCAGTCTGCTCTTTTCTGGCCCTGTCCCTCCAGCAAGAGGTTCAGGTGCCCCTCCTCTGAGACGTCTTCTGACCCCTCGGTCTGGGTTCTGTTCCCCTGGCTCCCTGTGGTCACCTCTAGGTCAGCACTTCCTGCATCAGACTGTCCGTCTGTCTGTCTGTCTCCCCTGCTGGATGGGGCACTCTGAGGCCAGGAACAGGCCCTCCAGCTCTGACTCCCAAGGCCCACCCAGATCCTGGTGAGAGGGCTTGCCCGCAAACATCTGCAAAATGAGCAAATTCACTGCGGCCTCGCCATTTTCACCTCCACCCAGGGGACTGTTCCCCGTGGACCTTTCTGGGGACAGATGCACGCACGTCCCGACCCCGAGTCCTCAATACTTTCTTCTACCTGCAGTCAGGCCAATTAGCACATCTGCACGTCAGGCCAGGCGGGCACCAGCTGGAGGGGCCGCTCAGCTCAAAAGCTGATTCAGCAAGCAGTCCCTGACCGGTGACGCCCCAGACGCTAGGAGCGCCCCGGTGAGGTCAGGGCCCTGCCTCAGCTGCTGGGGGACCGCAACTGACCTCCTCCCCTTGACTGCCCAGCGAGTCTACGCCCAGCAAAGGCCAACATTAAAGTCAAGCTGCTTCTGCTGAAAGCCTCCATTTACACAGCAAGGGAGCAATGACACACCTCTAACCATGTCTTAATAAGAAAGTGCCATGAACACTCCATGCCCGTGTTGTAACTGCGGAGGGCTGGCCCCGACCCATCCTGAGGTTTTATCCCCACTCACTCAGCTTTTAAAACGACAGCCTGGGCCTGAGCAGCTTGATAGCCTCTACAGACTGGCCCCGATCTGGGGAGGACAGGAGAGCTCCAGCTCACATTTGTGGGGTCTCCAGATCCCCTGGAGGAGGGCATGGCAACCCAGTCCAGTATTCTGGCCTGGAGAACCCCCGTGGACAGAGGAGCCTGACAGGCTACAGTCCATGGGGTTGCAAAGAGTCGGGCACGACTGAAGGACTGAGCGCACAGGCACTCTTCACCCAAGTGTTTCCCCCTCAGCTGTCCGGCGCCTTGTGACATTTGTTTCTGGGAAAGGGAGGGAGAGGGAGGCCCCGGCAGCTGCTTCTGATGTGTGCGCACTCTGGGGGCCGGGGGTGGGGTGGGGGGTGCAGGGAGGGACAGCTGCTGGGCCAGCCGGCCTCCTCTCTCCCTAACGCCACCCGGCTTCCTAACCCATCCGCGTGCCTCCTCGGGAGCCCAGAACCCTGGTGCAGCGGGACATAGCAGCAAGGATCGCCGGCAAAGCACTCTACACCTGGCCTCTCAGAAACACTTCTTCAGCTGTTAGCTGTGCCAGATGGTGGGCAGGTGTAGAGCATGAAGGGTAAACCTCAGCTCTCCTCATCCCTCTCCCTCCTGGGTTCCAGCTGAAGAGCTGAATAAGGTGCAAATGAAACAGGATACAGCAGCCACTACAAGAAGCACTCTGCATTCTACCTGGGGGAAGTCAGGGGGGCTTCCTCGAGGAGGCGATCATGCCTTAGCTGAGTCATGAAGTAGATGCACTAACTCCATGAAAAACTGGGAGTAAGGGACAGAGATCAGACTGCCCAAAGGGACAAGCAAGAGAGAAGGGGCCCCACACGGTCAGAAAACCACACGAGCCAAACATCCACAAATCCAAATGAGGTCACATCAGTTATATGAGGATATGCTCAGGTGCAAGAAAAATAACACCCAGCAAAAAGTCACTCAAGGGCTTTCCAAACTTCAGAGTGTATACAAATCATCCGGGGATCTCATCAAAATGAAGATGCTGATTTTTAAATGATTCAAAGAAGACCTGGGGTGGGGCCTAAGCTCATTAGAAATGTGGAACATAACTGACAATGTAATTGGCCAAGATAATGGATAATATAATCAGGGTGAGCTGTGGACCACACTTCTGGTGGCAAGGGTTAAAGTTCCAGGAGATGCCTGGACCAGGCTGTTGGACCATGGGTCCAGTGACTTGGCCACGTCAGCAGAGGTCAGATCTTCTGTCTTTCTACCCTGCTTCCCCAGCACCACTGTCCTAGTCTCATGTTCTTGTCATCAAAGCTGACCGTTTCAGCTCTAGACAGTTCATCTTCCCCCAACACATCCTCCCACAGCACAACTCCTCCAAAGAGCAAAGAGTGCGTCTCCTCCCAGAGCTCTTCCTTCTCATCAAGGAGAAAAACTTCCCCACATGCTTAGTCGCTCAATCGTGTCCAACTCTTTGCAACCCCGTGGACTGTAGCCCACCAGGCTCCTCTGTCTATGGGATTCTCCAGGCATGAATACCAGAGTGGGTTGCCATTTCTTCCTCCAGGGGATCTTCCCAACCCAGGGCTCGAAACTACATCTCTTATATCCCCTGTATTGGCAGGTGGATTCTTTAACACTAGTGCCACCTGAGAAGCCCCAATCTCCATCCATATGTTTACATATATATATATACACACACACACATACATATACACACACACACATACACACACACACACTTACTTATCTGTTTGTCAAGAGAGAAAAGAGAGAGAGTCATTATAAGGAACTGGCTCATGCAATCCTGTAGCCTGGGGAGTACCAAGACCTGCAGGGTGAGTTGTCGGCTAGAGACCCACGAGAGCCGATGGTACGACTCCAGTCTAAGTCTGAAGGTCTGAGAACCGACAGAGTCAGTGATGTAAGTTCCAGTCAGACGGCCAGCAGACTCTAAGCCCAGGAAGAGATGATGTTCCAGTTAACCTTCCAGTGCTATCCAGACCTTCAACTGATTGGACGAGGCCCACCTGCATTAGGGAGAACAACCTGCTTTTCTCAGTCTACTGATTCCCATGTTAACCTCTAGGTCTGACATATATACCGTACCATGTGTAAAATAGATAGCTAGTGGGAACCTGCCGTATAGCCCAGGGAGCTCAGCTCAGTGCTCTGTGATGACCTAGGGGAGTAAGACAGGGAGTGGGAGGGAGGTCTAGGAGGGAGGAGCTATGTGTATCCATACGGTTGATACACTCTGTTGTTAGCAGAAACTAATGCAACATTGCAAATCAATTATACGCCAATAAAAATAAACAAACAAATGTCAGTCTCATCCCATACACCCTCACTTCAACACACAGAATTACATTTGGCTAAATATCTGGGCACGCCCATGGTCCAGCCAAGAATACCAAAACAACTCTGAAAGTGACGATCCAATAACACCACCTAATTTCAAGACTATGCATATGCTACAATTATCTAGTCAAGGCAGAAGGCAAAGAGATGAATGAAACAGACCCACACATAAGCACACAACTGGCTTTTTACAAAGATTCAAAGTAAAAATGATCCAAACTAAAAACCAAACTATGATCCAAAATGATCCAAACCAAAACTAAAACCTCTGCATTTTTGAGAATATTATTAAGAGAACAAGAAAATAAATAAAACCAGTCACAGATTGGGAGAAATATCTGAAAAATCATACAGCTATTAAAGAACTTATATCTAGAATACACATTTTTAATCAGTTTTTTTCTTTCAGTTTCATTGAAGTAAAGTTGACATAGAGCAGTGTGGAAGTTTAAGGTGTGCAGCATAATGACTTACAGCTACTGTGAAATGATTATCACAGTAAATTTAGTTAACAGCTGCCACCTCATATAGACACAAGGGGAAACAAGAAAAAAAGGAAAAATTTTTTACTTGTGATGAGAACCTTCAGGATATATTCTTTTAGCAACTTTCAAATACAACATACAGTAGTGTTAACTACAGTCATGGAATTAGTTTATAGATTCATTGTAGCTTTTCTCTCACCTTGAAAATCTTGGCTCACTACATCAACAAATTTACCTATTGATTTCATCCTCCTGTGTAATTAGCTTCAAAATTACTAGACCAACATTACTACAGATAATGAAATTACAGTTATGAAATTACTACGGTGAATGAAATTCAAGATTTCTCTGCTATTCTTTTTGATGTTAGACCATAACCCACCGTCAGAATGCCACATTTCTGGAGAGTCAGACATGCAACAAGTTCTAGAAATAAAAACACTGCAGATGTGGCACAGGACACACTCAGCAACCAGTGGAACAGAGCAGTAAATTCACAGAAGATCTGTGTGTGTAGGATTGTAACCAGACTGTCCTTGTCTTGGTGTTTCAGCCGAGGATCCGTGGCTGAGAACAACAGATGACAGGTACCCACATGCTCCAGAGATGCTGGACCATCTATGTCAATATCGCTCACAGGTGCCCCAGACACAGTCTCCATCTGAGCCGGGAGTGATGGGAGAGGATGGAGGGAGATGGTCAGTGGGAAGGAAGGATTTCCAGCAGGGACTGGTCAGGGTGATGGTATCACTCCTCGCCCGCACAGAGGAGGAGAGGTTCTGCTCCCTCCACTTCTCCCAAGCTAGTGAGGGGACTTCAGCCCCGAGCCCAGAGTGGGAAGCCATGCCAGCGGTGCAGTCAGACCTGCGGAATGCCAGGAAGTTGGACAGAGCAGCTGAGGAGGGATTAATCCTTGAGCTTCTACACAAGCCCCGACAGCTGAACACCAGGTGAGCATGATCCTAGGGGTGGGGTGTGCTGGGGGGAACCCCTTCCCGGCCTCTCCAGTCACCTTCTCCAGGATAACTCCGGGCAGGGAGTCAGGTTATCACAACACCATCCCACCCCAAGACTCTTTCCATCCTTCCTGCCTCACCCTGCCTCTCTGAGCCTTCAGCCCGGTCCCCAGTGAAGACGTGAGGCTGCCATGACCTCATTCAGGCCTAAGAAAAGAGTCATACCCTCTGCTCCCTCCAGTTATGGATCTGGTGACTTCTGCTGGGGCATTCTACACATTGTGCAGGCAGTCACTCTGCCATGTGGACACAGGGCTGCAGCTGGGAGGCTCCAGATTGCTGACGGACCATCTAAGATAGTCAGAGGCCTAAGCATCACCGACAGAGCCATCAGTGGATGCAGGAGCCCCAAATGAGTCACTGCTCTTGAGGAATGATGCCTGGTGACCTCTTCAAACCCAGGCCTTTGGACCTGCTCTTCTCTTGCTTGTGACACCCCCTCTTGCCTCCCCCCAAATCCTACCAGCCCCCCTTTCTCCAAGATACCCTCAGCTCACAGCTCTGACCCAAGTCTTCAAAGATCATGGACCACTCTGGGAGGAGTTTCTCAAGTTGTCGCTGGTTGGTTTTGTCCCCAGTTCTCACTTCCCTAACTGGATTTTTGACGCCTGCCCTGGGGTCCTTTTCCTGGTTCTCAGTCCCAGGCTCTTTCTTGTACATGATGAGCTCCAGAGAGGTATTCTCAACATTTGTGTATGTTTGGAAAACAGCGTAATAAAAATTCAATTAATAAATAAATGTGAGGCTCCTCAGAATAGTAACACTGGCTCCCCACCCCTACCCCCATACACCATGAACCACGTAGGGAGATTACTAAGCCTCCTTAAGTAACCGCAGCTGACAAACCATTGCCAAATACAGTCCGCTGTTCTTTAACGTGATACCTGTGTTCTGAAAAATCCCCCTCTGGGCACAAAATAAAAAATCACTCCATGAACAGCCCTAGACTCACAGGAGTAAATGGAGCCCGTGGAACAACCCTAAAGACCAAGGACACCTTCATACACAGACAGGACCCTAGGGATCTTATTTTAACATGATTAATGGTTCACAAACACACAAAAAAGAGAATGAACATGGCACTGTACCTTGGAAATGACCTGAAGCTGCTCAGGGAGGGGGCTGGCAGGGCTGCAGCCTGTGTGTCTTCATGAAAGGTGGGAAGTGTGACACCCATGGGCTGGGGGCAGGGCCCCTTATCCTTGGTTATCCTTGACCAAAGTGAGGCAATCTTTCCAGCCTTTTATCCTGAGGTCTGGTTTCCTGCCTTGGAGAGGCAGGTCCTTTGAAGCAAGTGTTTATGGTAAATATCTGTTTTTATCAAAGCTGAGAATCAAATCCAGTATTACCGACTTCTCTTACAATCCACTTGGGAATCACTACTGGAAATGTGTTTCTGATCTTCTCATTTTTCTTATTGGCACTCAGCGCTTGGGGAAACGTGGCAGGACCTGAAACCACTGAGCCACCGGGATGGCATGGAGCCGAGCAGCTTTCACAGGGCTCGGGGATTCCTGCGAAGGTGTCCGCACACCTACAATGCCTTCCCTACACATGCTCCCTGGAGTTGTGGGCCTGGAGCCTCACACTCGAGTGGGTGTAGAATAACCATTTCTTCTTTTTCAATAGAGAAAAGCTCACATGTGCACAAGCAGAGCGAAGCCTTTCAGGACCACGGGTGCACGGAGTCCCAGTCTCTGGGAGCTGTCTGAGAGGGCTGTGCACTTGCGTGCGTGTGCTCACACCAATGCTTGCATTCATGTGGCACATGTGCTAGTGTGCATGCTCACGTGCACGTATACATGCCCATGTTCACAATCCCTACCCTGCTCATTTTAGGTGGGTGCAGGTTGACGCTCACAAGCAAACACAAAATTCATGTTATGCTTAAATTTCCCCTAACAGCAGGTGTCCCCAAGGTCTGGAGACTAATGCCTGATGACCCCAGGTGGAGCTGGTATAATAATAAAAGAAATAAAGTGCATAAAAGATGTAGGCTTCACAGGTGGCTCAGTGGTAATGAATCTACTAATGCGAGAGATATGGATTGGAACCCTGGGTCAGGAAGATGCCCTGGAGAAGGAAATGGCAACCCACTCCAGTATTCTGGCCTGAAGAATCCCATGGACAGAGGAGCCTGGTGGGCTACAGTCCATGGGGTCACAAACAGTTGGACATGACTGAGCATGCACACGCAGGAGCAAGAAATGTAATGCGCTTGAATCATCCTGAAACCATTCCCCCAACCACCCCCACTCCATGGAAAAACTGTCTCCCCTGAAAACAGTCCCTGGAACCAAGAAGTTTCGGGACGGCTGCCCTAATGCATCAGTTGCTCTGGAACAGATTCACAGGCTTCATAACAGAACTGCCTGTGAGTGGAAACTAACACAGAGACCACCCTTCTTCTGAGCACCACTCTCTCTTCCATATCATCCCGGTGATAATAATAATAGTGACAGCCGCCTTGTTCTCAGCACATCCTCTGTACGTGCTGGGGTCAGAGACAGAGGTTTGATGCACATGATCACATCCTGTATTTACCACAAACCTGCGAGCCAAGTACTATTACATCTGGCTTCACAGATGAGCAGACAGACACAGAGAGATTAATTAAATCACTTGCCCAAAGACACACAGTTAATCCGCGTGTGTTAAAAAGTCACCAAAGGCATTCTGCTCACTGCTGCCTCTGCCCTTCCCTTCCCTGCCCCTCCCTTCCCGTATGGTACCCTATCTGAAGAGGCACCTCTTTCTCCATCTTTACTCTGCCTTATTTGTGTTCATTGAACTTACCTGACCTGACCTCATAGCATATTGATTATTTATTTATTGTCAGTCCTCCCACGAGACTGTTAAGTCCTCCGAGGTGGGGACCTGGTTTTGTCCCTGTGGAATCTCCAACACCTAGAAGAGTCTGGTCCACAGAAGACCAGACTCCAAAAAGATTTGTGGGATGAATGAATATATCCCATGCTAACTCAAATTTTGCAAAGTTGAAATGGTGTCATGCAAAATATTAATAAAGCCTCACTTTGTTTGCAAAATGTAAAGCAATTCAAATGTCTCCACGTTGTAAGAATTCATCAAGATCCATACAGTTGCAAAGCTGGTAGGATGGGGAAATTGTAAGTTGTGTTCATACTGCTAACTTTGGTTGGAAGATATACCTCAGCTTTTGTACTCCAGACACTTTAGAAACCAAAGTATGGGAGGGATTTTGATGGCTCGTGTGTCATTATTTCCTCATTTGCTATTATTATAATTTAAAATATTTGGGGTGTCTATAAAAATGTCATCCAAGCACTCACTGCATTCATGCGGCGAAAAATTTGCCCGACATTCATCAACTTTGGAGCAGAAGTCAAATGTGATGAAGTTTTCTGTAAGGAAGCCTGAACTACACTCTGGTCATTCATGGAGAGAGTGTGTGTGTGTATGTGTAGTTGCTCAGTCCACTCTTTGCCATCCCATGGACTGTAGCCCACCAGGCTCCTCTGCCCATGGGATTTTCCAGGCCAGAACACTGGAGTGGGTAGCCATTCCTTTCTCCAAGGGATCTCCCCAACCCAGGAATTGGACCCACGTATCTTTCATCTCCTGCATTGGCAGGCGAATTCTTTACCACTGGAGCTACTTGTGCTTAGTCACTTTAGTCATCTCCGACTCTTTGTGACCCCATGGACTGCAGCCCGCCAGGCTCCTCTGTCCATGGAGATTCTCCAGGCGAGAATACTGGAGTGGGTTGCCATACTCTCCTCCACGGGATCTTCCCAACCCAGGAATAGAACCTAGGTCTCCCGCATTTCGGGCAGATTCTTTACCATCTGAGCCACCTGGGAAGCCCTCATTTAGGGAAAGGACTTTGCAGAAGACTACAGCCTCTGGCTGAGAAAACTATTAATAAGAAATTACAAGCCCCAGATGGAGCCATTTGTGCCCCACCCCCATCCCTGCAGCAAAGCAAGACTTAATGACAGTTTCAGGCCCTTCCAGATGTCATCTTTGAAACAGCCGATCTGACACTTCCTGATCGAGTCTAGTGAGGTAAGACCCCTGCCTCCCTCCCCTTCCTCCCAAAAGAGTTGGCCTGGCCTGGAACAATCCTTTCTTTTTTTTTTTTTCAATCCTTTCTTTTCTTCTGCTAATACCTCCCCTTCCCTCACCCCCTTCTGCCTATAAAAACCCACCATTTTGTACAAGCCCACCTGGGTGAAATGCTGCTGTCCAACTCATTACTCAACAGAGCACATCACATCTTCAAGTTTACTCAGTCGAATTTTGTTTTTATCACAAAACATAAGGCAACTCTAAGGCAAAAGGAGAAGGAGGCGGCAGAGGATGAGATGGTTGCATGGCATCAATGACTCAATGGACATGAATCTGAGCAAACTCTGGGAGACAGTGAAGGACAGGGAAGCCTGGTGTGCTGCCATCCACGGGGTCGTACCGAGTCGGACACAACTGAGCGACTGAACACAGCAACAAGGCGAAAGCAATAATAGTTACAGATTTCTGCGCTTTGTCTTGTGACCAATACTTTGTATTTCAGTGGCAAAATAGGCCTCAAATCATGTGAGTCAAGTCTCCTTTGACCTGTAATGCGGCCACCAGGCTACTGGGTTCCAGACTCAGCTCCACAGGCAGGGTTGGTTGGGGGGATAGCAACCTGACCCTCCAGGAATAAGGGCGGCTCTCTAGATGCTCTGTCCCCTGGGGTGGGTGGGTCCCCAACCCCTCACGGCCAGCCCCAAGCACAGGTTTCTTCTCACCCAGATTGCAGGGCTCCCACCAGCGACCAGGACTAAGACGGACAGAAGCCATCACTGATGCGAGCCCGTGACTGCCCGAGGCCACAAAACCGTACCCCAGACCCTGCAACTAACAGGCCTCCTTTCTGTCCCGAGCCCTCCTGTCATGGGCTGAGCCAAACA